TTCCTCCCTTCCTCCCTTCCTCTCTCTCCCTCCCTCCCTCCCTCTCTCTCTCTTTCCTTCCTTCCTTCTTTGAACACGTGTGTCCTTAGCAGCAAGATTCACCATAGCCAAGTCGTGGAGACAATCCAGATATCCATCCTCGGGTGAATGGCTAAACACAACGAGGTCCGTGCACATGATGGAATATTTTTCAACCAGAAAAATGAATGAAGTTCTGATACATGATATAATGTGGATGAACCCCGAAAACATGCTGAGCGATAAAAGCCAGACACAAAAGGCTGTATGATTCCATCGATACGAAATGTTCAAAATAGGCAAATCCAGAGACACAGAAAGTGGATGAGTGGTTGCCAGGGGGTGGGAGGGGGGATGGGGATTGATCGTGAGTGGCCAAAGGGACGGGGTTTCCTTTGGCAGGGATAGAAATGTTCTGGAAATAGATGGTGGTGATGGTGTGTAACACTGAATAGCTGGGCACAGTGGCTCACCCCTGTCATCCCAGCACTCTGAGAGGCTGAGGCAGGAGGACTGCTGGAGCCCAGGAGTTCGAGACCAATCTGGGAAACAAACGGAGAGCTTGCCTCTACAAAAAATTAGGCCGGGTACGGTGGCTCATGCCTGTAATCCCAGCACTTTGGGAGGCCGAGGTGGGTGGATCGGGAGTTCCAGACCAGCCTGGCCAACATGGTGAAACCCCGTCTCTACTAGAAATACAAAAATGAGCCAGGTGTGGTGGTGCGTGCCTGTAATCCCAGCTCCTGGGGAGGCTGAGGCAGGAGAACCGTTTGAACCCAGGAGGCGGAGGTTGCAGTGAGCCAAGATCATGCCACTGCACTCCAGTCTGGGTGACAGAGCAAAACTCGGTCTCAGGAAAATAAATATTAAATGAACACATAAATAAAAATAATTAGCTGGGTGTGGCGGTGCACACTTGTGGTCCCAGCTACTTGGATTCCTTAAGCCCGGGAGGCTGAGGCTGCTATGATCCGGCCATTGAAGTCCAGCCTGGGCAACGGAGTGAGAGCAAATCAAAGCAAAGGAAACATGAATGGACCACCTGCTACGTTGTGAAGTATCCCGAACACTTTCAAATGGTGAATTTAATGTGAATTTCACCTCAATAAAAGCAGATCCAGGGCTGGGCACGTGGCTCACACCTGCAATCCTAGCACTTTGGGAGACTGAGGTTGCCAGATCACCTGAGGTCAGAAGTTCAAGGCCAATATGATGAAACCCCATCTCTACTAAAAGCATACAAAAATTAGCCAGGCGTGGTGGCAGGCACCTGTAATCCCAGCTACTTGGGAGGCTGAGGCAGGAGAGTCTCTTGAACCTGGGAGGCGGAGGTTGCAGTGAGCTGAGATCATGCCACTGCACTCCAGCCTGGGCAGTGACAGAGGAAGAGTCCTCAAAAAAAAAACAAACAAACACACACACACACACACACAAAACCAAACCTAGACTCAGGTGACAAGATGTGCCTGCACGCCAGCGGCTCCTGCCAGCTCCAGCCCCTCCTCCCCACTCCGATGATAGAGTTCTCTGCCTGTCCGTTGCTCGTCGCCCCCACCAGCTTCTGAGACTGTCCCAGGGGGTGCAGGTGAGGGGCCCAGGACTCAGCCCCTGCCCCACCTCAGCCTCCCCGTGTGTCCTTGTGCCAACTCCCTCCCAGGCCTGGGCCTCAGTTTCCCCTTCTGAATCATGGGCCCCTCCGCCCTCTTTGGCCAGGAATTCAGTCTCCAAGAAGGTGACCGGGGATGACAGTGCTGGTTCCCTCAGCAGCCAGGTTGGGGAAAAATCAAGAAGCCCAAGAAAGAAGTGGTTTTTCTCCACACGTTTACTTTTAAAAAATAATCGTACAAAACAATGATTTCTTAAGGCGTATCAGAAATGCTGAGTCCCAGGCCGGGCCCTGCCCCAGCCAGAGCGGCGACTCCACAGCTGGGGGCTTGTCCAGCTGCCCCTTTTAGTGCTTTTCTCCAGGACACGGAGCTTCTGGAAGCACAGCAGTCCCTGTGTGTCCCCTTCGGCTGACCTCTGTCCCCAGGCATGGCGTGATGCTGCTCGTCTCGAATCCTTCACTGTTCAGCTGCGAGCCCAGTGTTTTCATTTTGCATGTTAGGTGTCTGGTCTTGCCTGTCCTACCCTGAACCCGGGTTCCCCGAGGCCATGTAACACTCAGGCAGCTCTGATGCCCCTGGGTACTTGGAAGAACTCCCAGGAAATCCAAGCCTGCGCCAGGGATCTCTGGCTTTCAAAGTCTTCAAAGGCTGGAGCGGCTGCCCCTGCCACCCACAGACCCCACAGAGTGTGACAACCTGCTTTCTTTCCTGAACGCCTCATTCCTGGGTCCTTTCACCCACTGGACCTCACTGTGTGGCCTCAACTCAGAGGCCCTTGCCCTCTGAACCCCCAATTTTACAATAAATGGAGTAGATTCCAAACGTCATTCAGCTCTGTCCTTCTCTGACTTTTCTTCCTCATTCGTCTGCCTGCTGAGCTCCTATTCATACTTCAAAGCCTCAGCTAAAAATCCCCCCTCTGGAAGGAAGACTTCTCTGCTTCCTGTCTGGACTCTCCCAGCTGCAGGTCTCTTCTTCTGGTTCCATGACGTTGGAACTGTCTGTGGCTCTGCATATTCCAGACTGAAGGTTCCTGGAGGGCTCCAGCGCTGCCCACAGGCTGGGAAGACAGGTTATTAAACAGTGTCTCGGATGTTGCCCTGGGAAGTCAGTGCCTTGCAAGGGCAGCGGTCCAGATAAGTCAGATTCCAGCCTGGCTCTTCCTCTGTTCCCTGTGACATCGGAAAGGCCCCGCCTCACTCCGAGACTTGGTTTCCCCAACTTTGATGTAGTTGGGAAGGTCAGTGCTTGGTCCAGCCGCTCCCTGCAGTCACGGTGGCTGAAAGCAAGTGTGCACCCTCGTTCCTTGAGGTGTCCCCGTGCCGTTCAGCAAGTCGTGCAGCGCGGCCTCATGGCCTCCGAGGGTGGGTTTGGATCCTCCTGAGAGAAATGTTCCCATTAAGCCTTGGGGGATACTGGAAACAGAAATTCAGAAACACCGCCCCATCCAGCCATCTCCTAACTCCCACCCTTGGCCAGGGAAGAGGCCATCGCGGGTGGTGCCTAGGGCAGACACCACCGCGACTTGGGTGGGAGGAGGGCTCTGGAGCTAAGCGTGTAGTATCTCCCGGTGCCCACAAGGGGGCTGGTTCTGGGAATCCTGTGGACACCAAAATCCACAGATGCTCAGGTCCCCATATAAAATGGCATAATATCTGCAGATAATCTAAGCCCATCCTCCTGTGTGCTTTATTTTTATTTCATTTTGTCTTATTTTTTGAGACAGAGTCTCACTCTGTCGCCCAGGCTGGAGTGCAGTGCGGCGCGATCTTGGCTCACCGCAATCTCCACCTCCCGGTTCAAGCGATTCTCCTGCCTCAGCCTCCTGAGTAGCTGGGATCACAGGTGTGCACCACCACGCCTGGCTAATTTTTGTATTTTTAGTAGAGATGGGGTTTTGCCATGTTGGCCAGGCTGGTCTCGAACTCCTGACCCCAGGTGATCTGCCCACCTTGGCCTCCCAAACTGCTGGGATGACAGGTGGGAGCCACCGTGCCTGGCCAATTTTTATGTATTTTAAGAGATGGAGGCTGAGCGAGGTGGCTCATGCCTTTGATCCCAGCACTTTGGGAGGCCAAGGCGGGTGAGTCGCCTGGGGTCAGGAGTTCGAGACCAGCCTGACCAACATGGTGAAACCTCGTCTCTACTAAAAATACAAAAACTAGCCAGGGGGGTGGCGTGTGCCTGTCATCCCAGCTACTCAGGAGGCTGAGGCAGGAGAATCCCTTGAACCCGGCAGGTGGAGTTTGCAGTGCGTCAAGATCGCGCCACTGCACTCCAGCCTGGGTGACAAGAGCAAAACTCCACCTCAAAACAAACAAACAAAAAATTAGCGGGATGTGGTGGCTTGCGCGCCTGCAGCCCCAGCTATTCAAGAGGCTGAGCCGAGAGGATCAATTAAGCCCCAGGAGGTTGAGGCTGCAGAGAGCTATGACTGCGCCACTGCACGCCAGCCTGGGTGACAGAGCCAGACCCTGGCTTAAAAAACAAAAAAACCTATCTGCTGTATGTCTCCCACCCCACGGAGGCTCCCAGGGCCCAGGGAGGCATGGTGCCTCTCAGATCCCTGAACTCACCTCGGAGTACAGGGGTGGCGGGCGGTAGCGGAACTCTTGGAAGTAGGCGAAGAACGGGCCTTCCAGGCTCACGTCGGGGTCCTGCGGGAGCGGGAAGGGGCTCTGCCCCAAGGCTGCCGCCTCAGTGTCGGCTACCACCTCCGAGTACTCAGGAGGAGCTGGAATGGAGAGACAGGGTGGGTGAGGCTGGCAGAGGACAGCCCTGCTCCAAGGGACCAGGGGCCGGGAGCCGGCTTGTGCCAGCTCTGGGGCTGGGATTCCGGGGGATTGACAGTGACAGAGTTGACCTGGTATCCGCCTCTCCGTGTACCCACCCACCCCCTGCATGCCAGCAGGGCGGGAGCTTACCCTCAGGCCGCTCCGGCAAGGCCCCCAGACCCCAGTCCAGCAGGAAGCTGGCGTGGCTGCCCACGCTGGAGGAGCGGCTGCCGAAGGGGTGCAAGGGGATGGTGCCGATCACCAGTGGCAGCTCCAGCAGTAGCTTGGATGTGCCGGGGATGTCCACGCAGACCTGGAGGAAGGAACCATCATAAGGGAGGGCGCCCGGGCAGCCTCGCCGACCCCCACCTCCCTCCTATGCCTGGGGAGATGGTGGCCCCATGTACCCACAATCTGAGGGATACGGGGTGGATGCAGGATGTCCTACCTTGAGCGCGTAGTCCACGTGGAGAACGCGGCAGTGCAGGATGGAAGGACCCACCGGCGGTATCTGCAGCGCCCGGCCCTGCCACAGCGCCCGCTGCCCCGGGCCCACCGGCTCGCCCGCGAGGCTGGCCACCACCGCCTGTTTCTGCTTTCGGGCGCCTCGGGCCATGAACGTCTGCGTCTGCACCACGGCCGCCCGAGGCAGCACAGGACACGTGGAGCTGTTGTCGATCTCGGCAAAGACGGGGATGACCTCTCCTGCAGCGAGGGGCAGCGGGGCCTCAGTTTCCCCTCCTGCAGCCCCGACGCCAGCCCCTGTCCCGACCCAGTCCGGTCTGCCTGCTACCTGGCGTGTAGCCCTTGCGGTCGATCTTGGCTGAAAGCGAGACGAGGCCGCGGTTACGGTACCAGGATCGGGCGACCTTTTCCTGAGCCCCCGCTTGAGGTGCCTGTCAGTGTAGAGGAAAGTGACATGGATGAGTCATTTTGTGCAAACCAGAGACACCGTGCAACTTCCAAACCACTCCCAGCTGAGAGAGGACTTTGGGCAGGGCTTGGTTTCTTTTTAACAATCCAGAAATTATCTATAAAACAGAGCCAGGGATACAACCCATCTTATAAAGCCAGAAGTGAAATGTACAAGCCAAGTGTTTGGTGTGTCATTCGTGTTTGGTAAGCTCTAGCTCTGGTCTCTTTCACAGAAGAGGCATCTGAGGCTCAGAAAGGGCAAGACACTTGCCCAGAGTCACACAGCAAATGGGGGCAGATCCCAGTGGATTCCACACCCATTCCCACACCTGCCTGCCTCCCGGCCAGGGCCCACCTATGACCCCCCAACTTCTCAGTCGGTGTCACCCAGCAGCCAGGCCCCGCCCTACAATACTCCCATCCTACCTCCCAGGGTGGCCACTCACCAGCAGCGCGGGCGTGTTGATGTCTACCGGCTCGATGACAGTGAACACCTTCCTTGCCCTGCGTGCTGGGATCCAGGGCCGGTGCAGGGTGGCCTTGATACAGTAACGGACACTGCCGTGTTTGCCCTCGAAGGATGTCACCAGGGTCCTGGGGTGGAGGGAAGGGAACTTCAGGGGGCGAGACACAGAGACACGCAGGCAGGGAGAAGGCGACACACACAGACACTCCGGGGGTCTCCCAGGGGAGAGTCTTGGGGCTCAGTGGTGCCCAGATATCCAGTATGGGAGGAAAGAATCTGGAGGGGGCGGCAGGCTTAGGGACTCCCCCGCAACCCTGTACCCCAGAGGACTTACGGGGGCAGCTGGAAGCTGAACAGGAACTCATGGCGCCCGGGAGGCAGGGTCGTGGTCTCTCCGGTGTCTGCAGGTAGGAGCAAAAGGAGGTGACTGAGCGGTTGCGCTGGGGTCCCAGGGCTGACCGGGGTACCACCGTCCGGGTGATGGGAAGCACACAACCGGTGCACCGAGCGGGGGCCCCCGATCCGTACCTGGCGCCAGAAGCGTGGCGCGGTGGCTCACGACCTCCACGCGCTCGCTGTAGCTCTGCGTGTAAGCCGTGCTCGAGCCCGCGCTGCGCGACTCGGTCCAGTGCACGTGGGCGCGGCCCCGCGCGCGCAGCCTCAGGGCACCCACACGCATGGCGCTCGCCAGCTCCAGCAGCACCCGGCCTGCCACGGTCTGTCCGCCGCTGAACACGGGCTCGGCGCCCGTGGTCGCGCCGTCCAACTGCACCGAGAACGCTTTCACCTTGTCGAATAGCATCGCGTCCGGGCTGCGAACCCAAGACACGCGGAACCTGGCCTCGAACCCGCGACCCGGCAGCTCACGGAGCCGACGCTGCAGCCTCAGAACGCAAACTCGCCCTCAACGCGCAGGCGCGCTCGTCAACTGGACTAGAACAGCCAGGCGCCTTGCGTCGGCGCCACTTTTATACGGCAGGGTGAGGGGCGGGGCCACCGCCTCTCACCCCGCCCCCAGGAGGGACTCCACCAATAGCGCGACAAGGGGCGTGGCTCCGCCCAGGCGTGGAGCAAAATAACAAACGCCCCTGCTCACCACCGGCTGCCCCCTGCCCTCGCGGACCCTGGGGGGAAATTGAGGCCCTGAGGCGGCCAGAGGTGGTCTCTCGCGGACTCCCGGAGCAGAGAGGGGAAACTGACGTCCAGAGGCAGGGCCCAGATCTGAGGTCACCCAGCAGAGCCTTCAGTCTCTAGGCTTAATCGCTCACCAGCCGCCCCTGGTAGACGTGACTCGAGGCATGTCCGGCCGGATTTGGGGCAGGGGGCCCTCGCCCCCGTTGAGGGCCCGAGAGCCTATGACTGTTCCCGGCCTGTTTCCCCCGGTATGCAAAGGGGGACGAGGAGGAGGTGGGTGGGACCGACCGCCGTCCACACCGGTGCCTGCCGCACCCTCCGCTGATTCAAGCCCGGCTCAGCTGCTGGTCCTGGGCAAATAACAACCTCTTGGAACCTCAGTTTCCCCCTCTCTAGAGCCGGGAGAAAATAAAAATCAGTCCTGACTTGAGAAGGTTGTGCAGGGATCATCGTGCAGCCCCAGCTGGACCCCTCCAAGAGCCTCGCTCCCGGGTCATCGCCCTGCTCCGGACACACCGTCACTCAGTCGCGCCTCGGTGCATCTGCCCGGGCGGCACCTACGACCTGACGTTCTTTCCCGTTTTCAGCCTCTGGCAAACCCGACCTTCCCCCAAGCCCTTGTGCCTGCTCCAGGCATCCTCAGCCCCCGCCCCTCCACGGAGCCGAGTGCAAGGGACGCTTGGGCGCCCGCAGGTCAACGGCTGCGGGGTGCCCTCGGGACGGCGTGACCTCTCGCTGGGCTTCAGTTCCCAGCGATTCTTCTGCCTTAGCCCCCGGAGCAGCTGGGCTAATTTAAAAAGAAAAGCCGCGCGGAGTTTTCTCCGGCGGAGCGGCCTCTGCGCCGCCTGTGGGACGCTGGCGCCCTCTTGTGGCAGCGGAATGCGCTGCCGCTGAACCCATCCCCTGCCCCGAGTGTCTTCTTCTGCACCTGGCTCAGGAGACACCAGGCCTCCAGCACCTCGGTGAGGGGTGTGGGTGTGGGGGGGGGGCGGTTATAAACAAACACGGGCACTCGCAGCCCGTGATGAGGGTCAGAACAGGAACGAAGGGGCTGGAGGCACAGTGATCAGCCTGGAAGGCTGCCTAGCTTTGCAGTTGAAAGCCAGGGACCTTGTGCCAGGTCTCAGGGGACCCTGGACGGGAGAGAGTAGGCTGTTAAGTCCGGGGGGGAAGCGGATGAGGTAACCCTGAAGGGACTACTAAGCCAGCGCCTTCCTCAATTCATTTCACAGATGGACCCCAGAGGCCCAGAGAGGGGCAGGCCCCTGCCCGAGGTCACACAGCAGCCCCACTGGCCTCACCTCTCCAGGATCTTTTTTTTTTTTCTTAAACGTTTACAAAATTTTAATTTTTTTTTTTTTTTTTGAGACAGGATCTCACTCTGTCACCTGTACTGGAGTGCAGTGGCACCATCTCAACTCACTGCAACCTCTGCCTCCCGGGCTGAAGTGATCCTCTCATCTCAGCCTCGGGAGTAGCTGGGACTACAGGTGTGCACCACCACGCCCAGCTAATTTTTGTAGAGACGGGGTTTCGCCATGTTGTCCAGGCTGGTCTGGAATTCTTGTGCTCAAGTGATCTGCCCGCCTCAGCCTCCCAAAGTGCTGGGATTACAGGTGTGAGCCGCTGCACCCGGCCAAAAATTTAATTAAATTAATTAATTAATTTTTTTTTTTGAGACAGGGTCTCACCCTGACACCCCCGCTGTAATGCGGTGGTGTGATCTCGGCTCACTGAATGTCAGCCTCCCGGTTCCAGCGATCTTCTGCCTTAACCCCCTGAGTAGCTGGGCTAATTGAAAAATCAGCCTGGCTAATTTTTGTATATTTAGTCGAGATGGGTTTCACCATGTTGACCAGCCTGGTCTTGAACTCCTGATCTCAGGTGATCCTCCTGCCTCGGCCTCCCAAAGTGCTGGGATTGCAGGCGTGAAACACTGTGCCCAGCCAATTTTTATGTATTTTAAGAGATGGGAGCCTGGCACGGTGGCTCACCCCTCAGTGTTTTAAGGAAGTTGCCGTTGAGTGTCTGGGGCGGCCTTCAGGTGAAAGCGGCCCCAATAGTTCTCTGGGCCGCTGGGGAAGGGAAGCGCCTCCTGGGCCCCTTCCTGCTCTGCCCCACCGCACTTGTTCCTCTGTTTCCACTGCTGGGGAGGGGAGGGTCTCCCGCATCTGTGGCTCTTGTGTCCCTAAAGCTTCCATTGCCTACAGCGCTGGGAAAAATGCCTCCCTCCTGGCCCATTTTACAGTCGGGTATAGTGAGGTCTAGCTTGGCCAGGAGAGGCTGACGCCCTCCTGCAGCCACACGGTAGGGTGCAAGGGTATAGACTGCCTCCTTCTGTGGCCCCTGGCTGGCTGGTGACCGGCTGTGTAGCCTAGGGGCACTTGGGATGCAAGAAGGACTGAGGTTGGGGCAGAGTAGGGATCTCCCCAAGACCCAGACTCCCCGGAGAATGTGACCCCCACTTCATCTCCCGCCTCTGGGATGCACTTCCTCCTCCTCACCGCGAAATACCACCAGACCGCCAACCCTACCTCGATGCAGACCCTGCGGGATAAACTGAGTTGGGGCCCAGGGAAACACGTGAGTTGGCAGCCTTCTTCGAGAATTAGGGACTCCAGGTCTGGGATCAACGGGGACCCCGGGGTCCACCTGGGAGATCTCCCACTCTATTTCCCAGGGGCTCCCTGGACTCTAATAAGAGGGTCCCCCTGCTTTGAAAGGGGTCTCCCCACCGCACAGCCTCTAAGCAGAGGGCGTCTGGCTCCAGAGAGGGGAACGCCCAGACCCTGGGTAGACGTTTCCGGTTATTGGGGGTCCTGACCGGGGCTGGGCGAGTGTCCAGGCTGGCGTGCAGTGATGCGATCTCAGCCCACTGCAGCCTCTACCTCCCAGGCTCGAGCGATCTTCCCACTTCAGCCTGTAGCTGGGACTCCAGGCGCGCGCCACCAGCCTGGCTAATTTTTGTATTTTTTGGAGACATGGGGTTTCGCCATGTCGCCCAGGCTAGTCTTGAACTCCTGGCCTGCGGGAGGGTCTGAACCCCGGGAAGGGGGTTCCTACTCCTTGAAAAAGGATCACCCGATCGCAGAGGTTCTAAGTGGAAGGGCTTCCGGCCCTGGAGAGGGTCCCAGCCGAAGGTGTCTGCTCTGCAGCGGGGACCGCGCGGAGTGTCTCACCTCGGAGCAGCAGCTGCCGCCGCCGCAGGTAGGTCTCGGCGGCCGCGTAGTCGCTGGACACGGCGTTGACGCCCACGCTGCGACCCTCCAGCCAGTGGGTGACCGCTCCGCCGCGCGCCTTCACCTCGAGCGCTCGCACCCGCAGCGGCGCCGCCACGTCCAGCAGCACCCGGCCGCACAGCCGCTCCCCGCTGCGGTAGGCGCCGCCCGGGCCCCGCGCCAGCTCCAGCGCGAAGCTGCGCACGCCCCCAGGGCGCATGGCGCGCGGCGGGGACTGTGCGCCCGGCGGGGGCCACAGCCTGGACACGCGGCGGGAAGGCGCACGGCGGGGGCGCGCCTGCAGGTCCCCTGGGTCTCCGCAGTCCCCCTTCGCGGCCCCGGGAGCCCCCGAAGCTTTCTCCCGGGTCCCCGGGGAACTTGGGCCGGCGCTGGTGGCCCAGGGCGGGCGCGTCGTCGGGGAACTTCCTGGTCCTCTGCGTCTGCCCCCGTGACGCGCCGTAGACTTTGCCATCCTCGGAGCTGGGCGGGTCCTGTTTTCTGTAGGGTCGGCGCTGATGACTCAGAGGCAGGCAGGGGCGGGGATGGCCGGGGAGGCACCGAGGAGGCCTCGGAGCTCAGTCCTGTGGTCTCATTCCCCCCACCCGGCACCGCCTCAGTCTCCCCTTCAGTGTCACTTCCTGCCTTGTCCCCCTAACACAAACACCTCGGGTCCCCCTCTTCGCCTCCGCACTGGGCTGTTCCGCCGCCAGATCCGTTCTCCCACCCATGCCGCGCACACCCAAATGTCACTTCCTCCGAGTCCCCTTGCCACCTCTGGCCTTGTTTACTTTCTTTCTTTCTCTTTTTTTTTTTTATACACAGTCTGGCTCTGTCGCCCAGGCTGGGGACAGTGGCGTGATCCGGGCTCACTGCAACCTCCGCCTCCTGGGTTCAAGTAATTCTCCTGCCTCAGCCACCCAAGTTCCTGACGACAGGCGTGTGCCACCACGCCCAGCTTATGTTTGTATTTTTAGTCAAGCCGGAGTTTCACCATGTTGGCCAGGCTGGTCTCCAACTCCTGACCTCAAATGATCCTCCTGCCTCAGCCTCCCAAGTACTGAGATTAAGGCGTGAGCCACCACACCCGGCCTGTTTATTTCTTTATGGCTTTGGTTACTTTTTTTTTTTCCCCCACTGCTATGGGTTTACTGTGCCTCTCTGCCATCAGACCTGGAGCTACCAGTGAGCACAGAAGGGACACTCATGAATGTTCCTTAACTGAACCCTGGCCTCTCACCCTGGACAGTCCTCTTCCTTCTCATGCCTCAGTTTCCCCAGCCAGACAATAGGGTATAAATGATGAGTCCTGCCAAAGACTCCGATGTGATCCCTCAGGCTGGAAGGAGCATTATTGAGCACGTACCAGTTGCCTGGCTGTTTTTAGGGAGTTCTGGTTCAGTAGACTGTCACCCCGATTTTGCAGATAAAACAATCAAGCTCCAGAGGCCAGCCACTGCCCAGAGACACCCAGCAGTGGCAGAGTCAGGACTCCGACGCTGGTCTGACCGGCACCTCCCCACTCCCACCCAGCAGTGGCAGAGTCAGGACTCCGACGCTGGTCTGACCGGCACCTCCCCACTCCCTTCTCATGCTTGGGTCCAATACTTGCATCAGCCACGGGCCAGTTATCATGTTGAGCCAGGTGACTGATGACCTTATCAGAGGCTGCCAGGACCTGGGGCTCCGAGGCTGGGCACTGCTTCGTCTCCCCAGGAACGAGGCCTCCCCACCGCACCCAGGGCTCAGCATCTGCCAAGTAAGTGTCCACCGCCCCCAGCACCCAAGCCCAAGTTGTGCGGGACCTTTCGGATTCTACCTGTGTCTGGAACCCTCCCCTCTAGCCCACCTGGAAGGGTTTGTCCGACTCCTGGATGTCACCAAATACTCCCTCCTCCTGCCGTCCCCATGGCTCCTCCATGGAGTCCCTTCCACAAAGTCCAGGTTCCTTTTATTTTTTCTCAATGCATCCTCTTCCTCCTGGGTTCAAGTGGTCCTCCTGCCTCATCCTCCTGCCTCAGCCTCCGAGTAGCTGGGATTATAGGCGCATACCACCACGGCTGGCTAATTTTTTTTTGAAATTGAGTCTTGCTCTGTCACCCAGGCTGGAGTGCAGTGGCACGATATGGGCTCACTGCAACCTCCGCCTGTCAGGTTCAAGCGATTTTCTTGCCTCAGCCTCCCAAGTAGCTAGGACTACAGGCGCATGCTGCCACGCCTGGCTAATATTTTGTATTTTTAGTACAGATGGGGTTTCACCATGCTGGCCAGGCTGGTCTTGAACTCCTGACCTTGTGATCTGCCCACCATGGCCTCCCAAAGTGCTGCAGAGGCGTGAGCCACCGCGCCCAGTCAGTCCAGTTCTTTACCCTGGCCTAGGAGATTTCCAGTTTAAATCCAGTACCATCCGTCCTCACTTTGTGGCCCCAGATAGGTAGATGTACCTGTCTGGGCCTCAGTTTCCCCCCATCCCACCTTGGTCAAGCTCTGATGAGGAGTCAGTGTGGTAATTGACAGCATCACATTCTCTGTAGACGGCAGGTGCTCAATACACATCTCACAAAAACCCAAATGACCTTCCTCACCCAGGTCACCTCCCCCATGGGCCCCGCTGGGACCTGGCGCATGGTGGGCGTCCATCAACGTGATTGGTTGAAGGGGAGGGATGCTTCCGGCCGGGGCTGGGCCACGCCCTCTGAAGGATGTCCACGCCCTCTGGCACAGATGTCCCTAGAGAGTTGTCCCTGACTGAGCTCCAGCCCAGAGGGAGAGGGGGCTTCTAGGCTAGGCTTCTAGGCTAGGCCAGTGATGGGAACGGGCTTCTTTGATTCCCACATTCATCTTGGTGCCCGGGGTTGGGGGTCTACCTCCTGGGACATCACTGGTACCTCCCAGCCACCCACGCAGGCAGCCACTGGGCGGGCGGGTCCTGCTTTATTCAGAACGAGCATGGACCCCTCCTGGGCTGCTCCATGCCCATCTGGGGCCTGGGGAGAGTCGGGGGACCAGGTGGCCAGAGGCAGCTCCGGGCTCCCCTGCCCTCACCCGTGGTCCAGCCCTGCCCTCTGCCCGGGCAGTCTGGGTAGGGCAGGCCCCAGTCCACTCAGCCCAACTCAGCGCTGGCTTCTTGAACTCCAAGAG